GGGTATCACTCACTGGTTGCTGCAGCAGAGCCGAGGGCTTTTGGTATTCCACTTTCACCTTGGCACATGTAGGGCACTTGCCCACGAAAGTGGCTATCTCTGCCTTCATATTAGGCCACCAATATTGTTTCTTGATATCAAAGTACATTTTATCTTGCCCTGTATGAATAGAATACCGTGTCTTGTGGGCTTTATGCATGACTACTTCTATGAGTCCCCTAATTCTGGAACCCAGGTTCTATTCATGAAGTAGTGAGTTCCGTTGTCTTGAACTTCGATCTCCTTCTCCATTCCTCGTAGTGATTTACTAGCGATATTTTCTGGCTTCATGGCGTCTACTTGGGCTTCCTTGATCTGTGAGGCTAGGGGATTTTGGATGGCGATTGATAGGGTCTTCACACGACGACTTGAATACTCCTTTCGTCTCAGGGCATCAGCTACCATGTTAACCTTGTTTGGATGGTATTTAATCTCACACTCATAATCATTTAACAGTTCGATCCATCTCCGTTGCCTCATGTTTAGTTACTTTTGATTTAGAATGTGCTGGAGGCTCTTGTGGTCTGTAAAGATGGTGCACTTGGTACCGTATAGGTAATGCCTCCAAATTTTTAGGGCGAAGACCACCGCTCCCAATGCTAGGTCATGTGTGGCATAATTCACTTCTTGGGTTTTCAGTTTTCTGGATACATCGACAATTACCTTCCCGTGTTGAATAAAAACACAACCTAATCCCTGACTCGAAGTGTCACAGTAAACTATGAAGTCTTTGGTTCCCTTCGGTAAGGATAACACTAGAGCAATACAAAGGGCTTGCTTCAAGTTTTGGAAAGTGATCTCTTGCTTCTCCGTCCAGTTGAACGGTACACCTTTCTCTGTCAATGTGGTGAGCGGTTTGGCTATCTTAGAAAAGTTCTGAATGAATCTTTGATAGTAGCCTGCAAGGCCTAAGAATTAAGGAATTTCCATTGGTGTTGCCGGAGTTGCCCAGCTTTCGATTGCTTTAATCTTGGAGGGGTCCACATGTACTCCTTCTAGACTGACTACATGGCCCAGAAAGTTGACATTGCGGAGCCAGAATTCACACTTGAAGAGTTTCGTGTACAACGTTTCAGCCCATAGGGTTTCTAAAATCTGTCGGAGGTGTTAACTATGATTCTCTTCACTTAGAGAGTATACGAGAATATCATCAATGAAAACGATTATGAATTTATCAAGGAATGGTCGGCAGACTCAGTTCGTGAGGTCCATAAATGCAGCGGGGGCATTCGTTAGACCGAAGGGCATCATCACGAATTTGTAATGACCGTAACGAGTTCGGAAATCCGTCTTCGGAATGTCCTCTTCTCGGACCTTGAGTTGATGATAACTAGATCTCAGATCTATCTTAGAAAAGTAACTATCTCCTTGGAGCCGATCGAATAGATCATCGATTCGTGGAAGTGGATACTGGTTTTTGATTGTGAGCTAATTTATCTCCTTGTAGTCGATGGACACCCTAAAGGATACATCATTCTTTTTAATGAAAAGGACCGAAGCTCCCCGTGGTGAGAAGCTTGGTCTGATGAATCCTTTATTCAAGAGTTCGCTTAATTGGTTTGATAATTCCCACATTTCAGTAGGAGCAAACCTATAGGATGTTTTGGCAATTAGAGTGGCTCCAGGAACTAGGTCGATTTGGAATTCGATTTGTCGTTCTGGGGGTATTCCAGGAAGTTCCTTTGGAAACACATTCGGGAAGTCACAAGTCACTGCGATGTTTTGAATGCTCTCTTATTCTTTGGTCTTATCCACCACGTGAGCAAGGAATGTGTAGTTCTTCTTTTGTAAGAACTTTTGTGCCTTGATACTCGAGATAAGGCGAAGGTATGCATTAGCTTTATCTCCATAGATTATTAGGGTTTCGTGGTTAGGAAGATGAACGCGAACGGCCTTCTCGTGACATGTAATATCAGCATGATGGAGGCTCAACCAATCCATGTCGATGATCACATCAAAACTCCTAATATTTACAGGCATTAAGTTTATTTGGAATGTGTGATTGTTTAGAGTTAGTGCACACCCTACTTAGATATCCTTAGTTGATTCGGTCTCCCATTAGCCATTCCACCGTGAAGGCTTCATTAAGCTTCTGTGGTTGTTTTAGTAAATGCTTGAACTTATTACTCACAAAACTTCGCTCTGCTCCACTATCAAATAAAATGCATGCATACGAGTTGTTAAGCAGGAACGTACCGGTGACAACGGTTGGGTCTTGTACTGCATCACCTTGACCCATTGTCAGTACTCTCCCTACTACTCATGTCCCTTGATTTTTAATGTTCGTACAGTTTCGCCTGATATGCCTAGTTTTCGCACATCCGTAACAGGTATAACTAGCTCCCATATTGTTGTTGTTGTTGGATGTTGTCATCTGGTTTTGTTGAAGCTGAGTCCTACAATATTTCGCTGTATGACCCTTCAGATTGCACCTTATGCAACTCATCTCTCTGCACTCTCCGTGAGGGTGGAGGTTGCATTTGTTATAATTAGGGAGATTTCCCGTGTACTGCCTGGAATTATTTGATGTAGATGAGTTTGGAGCAAGTTGTGTGGTAGTAGCTTGTGTTGCAGCATGGACAGACACAATTTATTGCTTCTTAGATGATTCTGAGTTCCGTTTTCACTTTCTCTTGTTGTTTCTTCCCTTCTTACTTTCCTCCTCCTTCTTACCCTCCGCCTCCACCATCTTGGCACCCTTCTTATTGCCATGATCGTACAGTTTTTTGGTCAGTCTCTTGGCGTTATCAAATGTCTTAGGGTTTGCCGCAATGACATTCCCTTGGATATGTTCAGTCAGTTCCCAGATAAACCTTTCAATCTTTTTCTCTTCTGAGGTGATCATACTGGGACACAGAAGCGATAACTCAGTAAACCGGGATATGTATGCGTTGATATTGGAATTTTGAATTGTGAGGTTCCGTAATTCTTGCTCAATCTTCTGTATCTCACCTCTAGGACAGTATTCTACTAACATCATCCCCTTCAGTTCTTCCCAGGGCATTGCGTTCACCACTGGGAGTGTCATGGCCTCTATGTGGTCGTTCCACCAAGAGAGAGCTTGGTCAATGAAAGTGCATACTGCGAACTTGACTTTACACTCATCCGGACATCCATAGATTTCGAAAAGAGACTCTACCTTCTCCATCCATCTCTTCAGGGCTATGACGCCACCAGTCCCATTGAAGGTCCGAGGATTGGCGTTAGTGAAGTCCTTGTAGGTGCATGCTCGTGTGGCTCCATGACTTGTTCCTTGATTTGTACTTCCAGTTCCCTGTTCGTTGCCTTCTCTGTTGTTTCTATTGCGAATCTGTAAAAGTGTTGCAGTGACCGTAGCGGACACTGCTGCCTGGAATGCAACCGAGTTAATTTCTGGAGACGACGGCTCGGGGTTTCCACGAGTGGGTCGTTGAGGAATCCTTCTGTCATGGAATGGAAAGATGTTGAGTGCCTATGATTTTTGCAAGTTTGGGATCCTATAAACTAGGTGTATATCAAGTAGTAGAGCAAGTCCTAACGGTAGTGCTGACGATTGCACTTAGTCATCGAGCTGACGTATCAGAAGTTCAGCTAGTTCATTTGCCTCTTAGGTGATTACATTTACCCTTTGCTCGGCTCAAACAGCCCTTGCTTTAGTTGTAAAGAGTTGACGCTTGAGATTTGTTATTTCTTCCTGAATAGAGCGTAAATGGTATGCATCAGCGTTCTACACTGTGTGTGGATCTGATGGGGCTTTCAATAGGTGGAGTTCATTGCGCGCCTCCTCAACGTCCTTGCCTTCATTTGACTCCTGGTCAGACTCATCGTATTCATAATCAGTTACCATATACTCTTTGGTTCCACTTTGGGTCCCACCTGTTGACCGATGGCAGGGCCTCCTTCGGAGTTTTCTTCAAGATCCTCCTCAAGCACTACTTGATCCACTAGCGCTTGGTACAAGTGTACCCCTTGCTGATCATCATTCATGGTGGCTTCATGGGGCGCGGGAACAAGTCATGTTTTGATTACTCTCATAGTATTTTCAATTATTAGTGTTTGGATTCCCTATAGTTATTCGAGAGTGGGGTAGGATTTTGGATTCATTTCCCGCTATGGTTACTCCTGAACACATGTTGGTCATATTCCGAACAAATATAGTTGATCAGGCTATATTAATCCATAAGATGACTACATAATTGCCCAGGTTTAATCATAGTGTCCAATTTCCTCCAGAAGCTTTTATTACATATTTTTAGGTTATTATCCTAATATGCGCACATAAGTGTGAAAATTTTGTTTTGTTCAGAGTTATTTAGTCCCGTTATGTTTATAGTTGCATATCATGTATGGTTGGATATGCTAGTTCACTATAAACATCGCTCTGATACCAACTTGTCACACCCCCAAACCAGATGGTGGAAACGTTCAGGGGTTTGTCACTACTAGAAAAACAGCCTTTTACGACGCTCATTGCGCGTCGTAAAAGGCTCAGACGACGCGCAAATGCGCGTCAAGGAAGGCCCCGTCATAAAGAGAGACGACGCGCATTTACGACGCTCATTTACGACGCGCGTATACGACACGCAATGCGTATCAAGGAAGGCCCTGTCATAAAGGAAGACGACACGCATTCGCGTGTCGTAACCTTACGACGCGCGTGTTAATGACACGCAATACGTATCAAGAAAGCCCCTGTCAAGAAAGGCCATGTCATAAATGAAGATGACACACATTTTTGCGTATCATAATTTTAAATGTTTAAAAAAAATATTTTTTATAGATTTACTAATTTTCAAATTAAATAATACATTAAAAATCTCATAATACAAAATAAAATACCATAAATAACAAAGATAATTCATTTCACTAATATGTCAAATACAAATAATTATTCCAAAGGTGAGTAAATGTTATAGAAAATGAACTCATTTATATACAATTGCATCATCTAGCTTACTATGTGCCAACAACTCTCTGTGCGTTTACTTTTTCTTGAGTCTCGTTTCCTCCAAAGCTTTTAGCCATGCCAAAATATGATATCTTGAGTCTCGTATGAATAGATCGTGCGCAATAGGTCTAGCTTGTATCATTCCAAATAATTCCAATGCTAGTCTCTATACAAGCCAATAATTTGAGAACTTAATTTTACCATTATTATATAATTAATCAAATAAGAAAACAATAAATACCTTCTGCCATATATGAAAGAGAACAAGATAAACAAGATCAGTATCGCCACTTTCAGTTGCCTTAGTCGGGGCTGTATCTTCTTCCCCAATGCCTAGTAACAAAGGAACCTGGAAAGGTGCTAATTTCCTCCTGCTAGTCTGATCTACATGAGCAGCAACTGCAGCATAAGAAATGCTTCTGCACAATTTTAACTGAAAAATCCCAAAAAGTTAGCCATTGACATTTTTTAGTGTAAACAGGTTACAACAACAAAGATATCATGTAATCTAACACAACATTGATCTACATGCATTTACACACTAAAAGAGGAAGAAGATGACCAACCTGCCAAATAATTTTGTATAAAACATCAAGTGTTCCTTTGTACTCAAAGCAATCTGGAGGACAGATGGACACTGTACCAGGTACTCCAGCACGCATACATGATGGAGAACATCTTAGATCCGCGAACATCTAAAACAAACAATTACATGATTATCAACATTGCACAACATTCTAACAAATATTACAAAGCAAACATACCACGTTTGGTCCAAAAATGGCCATTCGACTCGTAAGATTAGTCATTGGATGCGAGTATGCTACACCAGCAGCCCGTGCTTGCAGCATTGTATGTCAAATCACAACCATACACAAAATGAAGAATCATTACCATGGTTATCAACACCCAATATGAAGTTAACGAGAATGAACAACAAGTTAGCAACATTAATAAGCAATACATAGTTTTCAAAGGAGAATGATATCTAAATTTGAGTTTGTATGTCAAAAACAGTTGCTTATCAACTTGAATATTTGGATACCCTTAATAAAAATTGATACAAAAGAATTATTTTTGGTGTATGTTTTGTAACAAAGCCCTTGTGCGAGACATACAAAAAAGGGTACCAAAGAGGCTTGAAAAAAAAATGAAGAGAAAAGTAAAGGTGGTGCAGAGGAAAAGGGGGAAACAGAGAAATTACGTACTTTAGCCAAATCAAGAGGGTTAACAATAATGGCGGAGGGGAAGGCGGCGCCAGCGATGGAGGTTTAATGGGTTCTGTCATTCTTGATATGCCCACATATATTTCTCTTCTATCTTCATTTTCTCGTCTTTTATGGCATTCTTTTCCTACAAAAATTAATTCTTGCATTAATACCCTCATACATTAGATAAATTACAAAACAAAGATGGCTAAATGTTCATTACTAATGAGGAAATAGGTTGAATCTTGAAGAAAAAAAACAATAAATAAATATTTATCATAGTTGCTGATAATACCAAAAAAAAGTAAGAAATTTGAAGTAACTTACTTCTGTTGTCATTAGCTTCTTCTTCTCTTTTTCAGCCTGATGTCACTCATATATTGGTTTGAAATCACAGTTTTCCAAATTCTAAATTGTGTGGTTTTTTCCGAATATCTTTCTCCAGTCACCCTAGAAATTGTCTTTGAACTGAGGTTTGGCCATGTAATCTGTGTCAAACATCACTGAAAACATTGTTGCAACCTGTAAATGTGTAAAATAAGAATATGATGATCATGTTTACATCCAACTAGTTTCTTTCTTCAAGGGACTAAACAGAAAACAAAAAAAGCAACACACTTTTATTTATTTGTTTAGTATAGCAATTTACTTTCATTTCATTCTATTACAGCATTGTAGTTTCAAGAAGACAATGTACTTCAAAGAATCTACATGATTACAACATTCTGCTTCAAAACTTTTTTTTATCAGAACATTGTACTTTGAAAGATCTACTCAAGGTACAATAATGTAATAGAAAGCAATGAAAGTATGAAGCTATAATAAACAAATAAATGAGAGCACATTAGTATTTCCTATTCATTTATTGTAAAGAAAAAGATGATGTGGAATCAGAAGCTATAATAAAAAAAATAAATGAGAGCACATTACTGGTTTGTGGTTGATAGGGGTTACAAAATCAGAAAGCTTTGGCTTTTTAACAGAAGCAGATCTTTCCTCATCTGGTGGTCTCTTATTCAACCCAATATTCCTCAGTTGATTATTATCCTTTGATGCAGAACCATTTTGATGAACTTTGGGAACCACTGGTTTATGATTATTAGATGATCCCACTTTGGACTTGGAATTATATTTTGAAGACAATGGTTTCTCATCATCATAATCTTCACCCATCCAAAAGCAGCTAATGGAACAAGTCCTGTTGCAATTAGAATCAAGAACATTAATCCTATTATTATTATTATTAGAAATATAAAATAGTATTATAAAAGATGATTTGTTATTCAGAGGAAAACCTGAAAAATTAAGATGTGTAGTGGCTCTTAAAGATTTCAGGCTACTTGATTTTGCCACCTTACCCGCATAAAAGATTATTTGACTTCCCTTCACCTCTGCAAACCGAGTAACAAGCAATCATTAGTCTATCAATATCAGATGATCAGATCATATCACACATAGTAATGTTCTACATCTCCATAAAGAAGATCCTACACTAAACTAATCACCTACATGATACATCACATGCTAAATTTTCGTATTGTTTATTATTTTAGATATGAAGATGAAATAGTACTAACTACGCAGCATATGATCATTGAAAATTCAAAAATTTTCCTCATCAAGCAGTCCCAAACTTTGAAGAAAAGAGAAAAAAGAGATTTTGGAACACAGTTTGGTTTTTGTGATTGAAGAGACTTATTTTGAATGTGATAAATTATACTAAAAGCTATGAGAAATACTGCAAACAGAAAATAATTGGTGCCATTGCATCAAAAAAATCCATTGCACGCTCCTGTGCACCTCCACCACGTGGGTCCCAACACTTCAAAGTTTCGTCCCAACTCCCTGTAATCACTTTCCCTAAAAACCACCAACAAGAAAAAGAATTGAAAACACAATGATGTAATAGAAGGAAACGAAAGTATCAATGTATGATGATATTAGCAAAATGAAAACAAATGATGAAATGAATGTGACACTAACCCGTTGCATAAGAGTACTCGATACAGCGAACAGGGGCATCATGGCGTCCCAAAAGATCCTCCTTTTCGTGGTCAAAAACAAGCCTGAGAGATGTAAAAGGAATGTAGCTTGAAACTTAGTCAAGAAAAAGATAAGTCAATAATCCAAGAAAGTATATGCATCATTTAGTCATACCTTGTGACAGTGTTATCTGCACTAGCACTAAAACCAGAGGTATAATCATGAAAGCAGCAATCAAGAACTGCACCTCCATGAAGGAACTCTCCTCTTAACAGGTTATGATCTTTATTCTTGAACGGACTTCGCGTTTCCCTTTGACGACCCCGCCAAAGTGAAGCGACTCCTCCTGCCAGCTAAGCTTTCCTGTAGTACCAATGATGGCAAGAAAATTGCCAAAACCGATGATTTCACCTAATCAAACATATTGTGTGTTTCTTTTTCATACCCTTTCCCGTTTCCATGTGTCTTTGTTCCTAGTTAACCCTAGTATATTATTTCACCTAATCACACATCATCGATTGTTAGTTTCACCAAATATCGGAAGTTTGTTCCTTGGATCGTAAATGAAATAGAGAGAAATTAAGCCGGAAAGAAAAGGAGATTTAGCAAGCTAGGGTTCTTATAGAAGAACGAAAACATTGAGAAGTTAGAATCAAGAAAAAATATCTTATTAAGACATAGGCTTGTAAATTTGAGCAATAGAAGCAGTGACCCTAAGGTCACCGGACCTAATGTTGCTAGCAAGGGCAGGCGAGGTAAGATTGATGGAGAGGAGGGGCTCCATCGGCTGGGTGTTGCTAGAAAGCGTAGTTAGGTGGGGCGGGGCTAGACCGAGGTCAGAGGTGGGAGGCGCCAACACCAAGAGAAACGTCGGAGGTGGGAGAAGCTATCGACGTCGAGAACTAAGAAAAAGAGAAAGGGTTTGTCGAACTGAGAAGGAGAGAAAGGGAAGTTGAAGAGAGAACGAGCAGTACAGGAGGGCGATTAGGGCAAGTTCTTGAAAAAAAAGCCCTAGCTACTAGGGAAACTAAAGTGGAGGGAGAAAAAAAAAAGGAAGGTGGGGATTTTAAGTTTTTGGGATTTCATTTTCCCGGGATGGAGCGCGCGCGTTCTATTAAAATTTATAAAGCGACGGTCTTAGACGATACGCAGGTGCCCTCCGTGTTTTTATTATTTTTGTTTAGACACTAATTTTAGGGCACGCAAAAATGCGCGTCTGAAATCCTTTAAATTTTGGAAGAGATAACATTATTTTTTGGACACTCACATTTACATATCATAAATCACTGCGTGTCATGGTTCGCGCGTCGTAAAAGGCTATTTTTCTAGTAGTGCGTGTGACTAACAATTGAATAATCATCACAATGAATATACATGAAACATAACACATTCGTCACCAACATTACATAATACAACCAACATTGTTTACATCAAGTACATTATTAAAATACATAAATTCTAATTGTTCAAAGTACGATAAGTGATATTACATAAACAAAACCAAACACAATCGCATATCTTCCAGCTTAATGATTACCTGAGAGTACAAGTTATTTTGAAAATGGTCAACATATATAATGTTGGTGAGTTCATAAGTATGTTTGAGTAAAAGTTTTGTATCTTACGTAAAAACCCAAAAAATCCGATATTTTCTATAAATTGTATGAAAATGATGTGAAAATCCAGTATAAATGCATGTGTGAATTTCATAGTTATACCTTGTATAAAAGTAGTTTAGATTCATTGTATTTCGAATTACTGATAAATATGCACGAATAATTTCCCTAGAAAATCTGATATTTTCCATTTTGTAGTTATGTTTAGATTTTTGTATCCTTAAATAAGAGTTTTGTATTGACACCCTTAAAGAGTTTATATTTAAAAGGTTTAACTTTTTGTAGCGAATCCCAAAACGACCAGTTATAACCATGCATGATAATGACTAGGTTGCCTGTCTTGGTATTTTTCCAAATACCGGTCTTGATAAGGATGTTGTCGCCCTAGACTGGCCTACTCTAGCTGTAGCGAGCAACTAAGGCGTGGGGGGATCACCCCATATAGATCTATACCCAAACTCCCACTTTCCATCCAGGAAACTTTGAATATAACTACAGGCTACGATTGTACACTCTGAGATGCCAACCGACAAGTCTCACTAGATTCTCAACCCTTTTTCATACTATGTTTAGTGTTTACGCATATGTTGTTTGTTTTTGAATTCAAATGGTACATATTTATATAAGTATATGACGTGAAAAAGATGACACAATGGTATAGTTAGGATCACAAGCACATGATGCACACCCCAAAACCAAGAACGGTGGAAACGTTCTGGAGCGGAGGACATCATGTATAGTATCTCAACACAGTATAATAGTAAACAACATCATCCATTGCATTAAATATATAATTTTAATACAAGTGTGTTATGTGGTTTATAAGACACCAAAAATATGAATCAATATAAAAGATGAGTTTTGTATGTGCTCCGTCTTCTCAAAAGCTGGCCTCGGTACCTGTCTACTTATGACCTGAGAATACAAGTTATTTTGAAAGAGTTTATCAGCATTAAAGCTGGTGAGTTCATATGTATTTAGTGTCAATGATTTGCATGAAAATGTTTGTAAGAGTTTGAGTGTAAAAGTATGTAAAATGTTTGTAGAAATCGTTTGTATCTCTTAGAAAAACCTATATTTTCCATTAAAAGAAGCCTCTACCCAGGCATCAAGTGTACTGTATGTTTGTTCTTTGTAAAACTAAGTATTTTCCGAAAACGTTACTATCATTAGTAAAAATATAGTTTTTACATTACTCTTTATTGTGAGGAGATCACAAAGTAGATGTAAAGGGAAAATGATGAAGTACTATAGTATAATAATATTATAACTACTATTGTACTAACTACCTTAATCCAATTGTTAATTAAGTATAATGTGATATAATTGTAACCATACTTGATCGACCTAGTGAACCACGACGATGTAAGATGTCGAAATGTTATGACATTCATCACTCGTAGACCTGCAGGTCCCACTGTAGCTAGCGTCAAGGTGTAGGATGATTAGTCCAGTATAGATCTATCTCTCCCTCCACGAGACTCTAGATACAAGACGAGCCATAACAGAGATGCCATGCCCCATAGTACTGCCAAACATGTATGTTATAGTGTGTATGTAGTGTATGTATTAGAGTAGCATATGTCATCCCTGATTCTCATCATAGTATGGTCCCTAGTATAGTATATAGTGTGTATGAATAATATGTACTTGTTTATGTTCTCTCTGATTCTCATAATAGTATGTTCATTTGTATAGTCTAATGTATGTATTGTTTATACTGTATAGTGACTCATGTATGAATTGACTCTTTGTATGATTCTCTGTACAAGCAAGAGTAAGTAGTATAACTCTAAACTATACCTATTATAGTTTAATAGTAATGTTGAATGTATATTTGACTGTACTGAAATAAGATAACAAGATTTTATGTCTACACATATACACATAATATATAACTAAGGATCAAACGATACTCGGACAAACAATAGGGTACTATAAATCCACAACCAAATAAGGAACAAGAAATAGAGTGTATTATCAATCCTAAGTCCTTCAAACCTTATTTATATAACTATATATATATATATATATATATATATATATATATATATATATATATATATCGGACATGATTTGACAATAAAATAGTTTAAAGAATTGAAAGTAAAGATTTGTAAACTAAAACCAAGTTTTATAAAGAGTTTATCGTGTAAAAGTGTTTGGTAAACATTTGCAAGTAGTTGTGTTGATCAAACAGTTTGATGTGTAGTAATTCCATTTGTATGCTAGTTATTAATCACATGTGATTGATATAATAAATAGTATGATTCAACTTGTACCCCCCCCCCCCCCATAAAAGCATTTAAAAACATTTAAAAGGTTGATTAAGGGGTATGAACTCACCTGTAGTGAGTGGATTGTATGGAAGTGTTGGACAAGGTGATAGGTGTCAAGTGAAGGCTTGAACACACACAATGATCCTAGATAACATATAATAAAACATATATGTATCCAATTGGTCATTTAACAACTAATTAACTAAGTTAATACACCCTAGGACATGGAAACACTTTGATTCAAGTGCTAGAGGTAACAAAGGGTTGCATCTCAAGGTTGCATGGCATGGCATTGGAGTTTATGGCCCAAGCACCACTCCTTATGGAGTTTACGGCCTAAGGTCATTTCCCGCATTGGGTGTTTTAACGTCTTATATGTCAAGAGTAACCATTATATGATCAAGTCTAAGCCTTAGGAAGCATTAGGGGTACAAGGAAACCATCTTATAGAGTTTACGGCAGACTGATGACTTACTTTACTTCTTGTTCCTTGTTTGGTTGTGGACTTAGAGTACCCGGTTGTTTGTCCAAGTGTTGTTGAATCTTTAGTTATGTATTATGTGTATATGTATAGATATAAATAATTTTATCTCATTTCAATACATTCAGTCTAACAAACAAGTCTACTAGTAAACTATAATAGGTATAGTTTAGGGTTATACTACTTACTACTTCTAGTCCAATGAAGCATACAAAGAGTCAGTTCATTCATGAGTCACTACTTACTATTATGAGAAACTATATAACTATACTATGATGAGAAACTATCCAACTATACTATGATGGGAAACTATACAACTATACTATGATGAAAAACTATACAACGATACTATTATGAGAAACTATACAACGATACTATTATGAGAAACTATACAAAGATACTATTATGAGAAACTATACAACTATACTATGATGAGAAACTACATAACGATACTATTATGAGAAACTATACAACTGTACTATGGTGAGAAACTATACAACGATACTATTATGAGAAACTATACAACTATACTATGATGAGAAACAGATAAAGAATACTATAATGAGAAATAATACATACTAAGATGCTATAGAATACAACAACTACATGATCTAATTATACCAATGAATCAATAACTCATTGTTCTAAACAAAAGGTGATAGTTAAATTGGGTATACATGATCATATAAATTTAATGTGGATGTTCACAATGCAACCACTGGTTTGCCAAGTCGTGTTTGGTTCCTAGAATCTTTTGACAGGGAGAACGTTTAGTACGGGAACTAGCCATCACATTATACCTTAAACAATCGATTTAAGACAATAAGTACAAAAGTGGTTACTTTAATACAGTACTACAGTACTTTAATATTTTCCCCATTGCATTCATCTAGTGATCTTCTCACATAATTTGTAATGTATAAACTATATTTTGTTAATGATATTCACACTTGGGAAGAATACACACTTTTACAACAAACAAACATACATAATTTTGATGCCTTGGTAGAAGGCTACTTTTAGTAGAAAATATATGATTTTCTAGGAGATACAATTGCTTATACAAACATTTTCTTCAAACTTAT